GAGGTTTAAGGGAATCAAATGTTGTTGATGATGATTCAAGAACTGAACCATGAAGATCATCATATGCTTGTAGAACTAATGAAATAGGCATTAAAGCAAGTGCCATAAGTTTTCGACAAGTATTTCTAATTTCATCATCAGCAGCATATTGAGAAGATAATCCAAGTTGTTGGAAATTTCTATATATAGACTGCGTATAGTGAAAGAAACAGCCGACATGTTGACTATTAGGAAACTAGAAAAACAACACAACAGCATTTGTTCAAATTAAGATAAAGTAGTACGTACTTCAATTTTAAGTATTTCAGCTACTGTTCCTTCAAAATCTGACATAATAGTATATGGATTAAAAGTCATATTTAATTGAGCAGCTTTATTACGTAATTCATGAAATAAATATTTATATGTAGGTTTTTTTCGATCAGACAACAGAGCAAAAACACACACAAACGCTGCAAAATACACTAATAGTTAAAAGTTTATTTAGGAAAAAAAATTCTTATTCACATTGTTCAAATTTAATTGCATGTATGCAATATACTTGATCGAAAATCGAAGGTGATGATGAGAAAGTACTATCTATCAAGATGATGGAACTATTGAACAATAATTTTAGTTGTTCATCTGATGCAAATACCAGTATTCGAGTTTTTCTTTTTATAATCTGATCGATACAAAGAAAAGGTAAATTTTTCAAAGTTTTAGTATAAGACTGAGGTATATCAAACAGCTGAGAATTAGGAATTGATGGTGTTTGAAGACGACGTGCTTTATTTAATGTACTACCTGAAAAATAGATTCTTTAAGCAAATGAAAATAAAGCGTTTACAAACCAAGTTCTCCCTGAGATGGTAAAGCAGCAATTGCTAATGTTGATAAATTGATTCGGGCTGCTTCCTCATCATAAATTTGTGGAATAGGTGTATTTTCACTTATAGCACGTTCTTTAACAACTTGTTTGAACACTCGAATTTGAATTTCTTCTGGTTCAGGTGGATGACAATGATCACCTTTAATGTTCAAAATATTATCTTCAAGATCA